ACACACGCATATGATATCCACCCACCCACTCCCATTTGACAGCATCTCAAAAAAAGAACAGACTTGTTTCAAATTCTGTTTTAAATGCTGCTCCATAGGGTTTCCTAGATTGGTGGGTTTGAACCAGACTGTTCAGTTAGCAGCCCAGCATTTTACCCACAGTGCCCCCCAGACTGCTGAAACACTGCCACCCCAAACCCACTGTCGGTGAACCAATTCCCACTCACAGGGGCCCTATGGGACAGAGAAGAGCGGCTCCTTCTGGGTCTCGGACACTAGCAGGCAGCCTCGTCTTTCTCCCACAGAGCTGCTGGTGGCTTTGAACCACTGACCTTGTGGGTAGCAGTCCAATGTTTAACCCACAGTGCCACCAGGGCTCCTGAAATACTGCAAAAGGAGTGTGTCATTTAGTGTCCCCGACACAAAACCAACAAAAGATGGCAAATGCAGCAAGGCCAGAGAGTCCCATACAGCTGTGCTGTCCAGCCCTCAGCCGCTGGCCGTCAGCCACAGAGGTGCAGCTGGCTGGTCACTGCTCGCACGTGTGTGTGTTTGTGGCAAGCTGCAGGGGTCCATGGAGTGCTGCCACTTTGAAGAGCGTCTGCTGGCTCGCTGGGCTTGCCCTGTGACCGCAGGGCACAGGAGATAAAGCCACAGGAATGAGACACGGTACGCTGGAGACGGAGGAAGCAGACCCTGGAAGACAGCGCCCCTCCAAGTGTGATGTGGACACCAGGCAGGTGGGCTCACGTGTGGCACACACGTCATGTGATGCACTAAACTCCTGTTCCAGCAACCAACCGGACATCAGAGCCGCCCACTCCAGCAGCCTGCGCTTCTTGGTGCTTTGCAGGGCTGCGTCTCACAGGGACTGTGGCTTCTAGAGGGAAGGCTTCTGGCAACCCTGCCTCGAGCAAGCCTACCGACACCATTTTTCAACAGCGCGTACTCATTTCATGTCTCCGTGACACACTTTGTTAACTCTCACAGTGCAGAACTATGTATTAAAATTCACCCCACATCCAGAGGCAAAGCGGGGCTCGTGTGGCACGGAAGTGCTGATGACAGCCTACAGGCAGCCTGATCACGTGGGGTCTCCACGAGGCAGAGGTGACTCCATAGCACACAATAAGCAGCTTCAGAAACGACAGGAACTTGCTAACTGAGATGCAACAGGCTCAGCTTCCCTTGAAGGCACTGAGCACTGCTGAGAGGAGGCTGCGTCTGGGGCCCAACCAGCTGCTCACCTGCGAGTAAGACGTGATGACATGGCTTTGGATCTCATCCATGGTGTCGGTGCCATACGAAACCGTGCCCAGGTGGAGGCGCTTGAAGACCATCTCATTCTGGGTCAGAGTCCCTGAAAATATGCCAGAATCAGAACCACTGCTGAGAGTAGTCAGCCAGCCTTGTGCACAAAGAAGATACGAACTTCACATCACCGAAGGAAACTACTTCACCTCTTGGGCCTGCACACGCTCCCACACAGCACCGAGAACCTCCTAGACTCCCCCCCGCCCCCCCAGCCCCCCCGCTCCTCTTTCCACTGTGAAGGAGGAGCCAGGGAGTGTCCACTGGCATGTCTGTCCACTTCAGGAGAGCCTGACCATGTGGAGGGACCCAGTTGTACGAAGAACGCCTCTCAGTATGAGTATGTTACTTAGTACAAAAGCCATTTTTGCCTGTTCTGACTCACTGTTTTTAAATTACAATTGGGAGTATCACCAAGAAAGACATTAAATGGCCCCGAATCTCTGTGTCTGTCAATGTGGAAAAAAAAAAGAAGCTATTTCTGTAAAGTTAAGTATTCTTAACTGTGCAGACACAGACATGCCAGGGTGAGTCTAACTCCTATCACATGCATGTGTTATTCAGACATGGACAGACAAACACATACGCACACACATGAATGAGGACTTTGGAAGGGAAGGAGCGGACTCCCTGAATACCAGTTCCACAGCAGAGGGATTGCTGTCAGCTTGTCAGAACGTCATGGAGTCTGGGCCAAGGTGTATGTGAGCTGAGAGCAAGCTAGGCTAACTAATTCATCTGGAATGGGGGGAGGTCCTAAGGAATTCCCTTTGGCGTGATTTCAAAGGTTCGGACATATCACTGTCCTGTGCACCATCCTGTGAGCTGGGATGGACTGGTCCTGGCCACTTTGACTCAGATGACCACACGGTTTGCTAGCCCGGGAACCAAAGACCAAGAAGGAGCGGTGTCACCGTCATCGCCCAAATGAGCATGGAATGCTGTCTGTGTGCGGAAGGTAATACGATTGTTACTCACACTGATGCACCAACCACCTAAGGAATGACGCAGAAAGCGAGGAACTCCACCTACTTCTTCAGTTTCAAATTGATCAAACATGCACAAATCATTACTGGGGATTAGAATGTGAAAGTTGGGAACAGAGAGAAAGGACCAGTCATTAAAAAATGTGCCCTTGAAACATGTATGAATGTGCCTGACACAATGGATGTATGGCTGGTTATAAGAGCTGTAAGAGCCCCCTAATAAAATGATTTAAAAAAAATAGAAACCAAACTTGACCAACAGTTACCATGGGTGCAGGGAAGAGATGTCAGTGGTGGTGGAATAATCTTGAAAAATATATTAATAATGTGTACAACACAAGAAGAAAAACCCACGGCACTGAAAAATCAGAAAAGAGCAAGAAAAGCAAACGTGTCCCTGGTGACAGAAACCAAGCTGGAGATCCTGGGATGGAATTTCCACGTCACAGACTTTGTGTCGCTGCAAGCAGTTTCTCAGCGACACAGAAGTGGACTGTACTCACAGAGATTGCCCCGTGGAGCCCACAGGAACCAAGCTGACTGTCTGAGAAAAGAGATGATGGGGAGGCAGTACCACCAGGGCCGACTGTGGAAAGACCACCCAGAGAAAGGTGACCCACAGAATGTGGCAAGGATAGCACAATCTCACCATCAATGCAAGTAAAATTTTGCTGAAGATCATTCAACATTTACCACAGTACATCAACAGGGAGCTGTCACCAATTCAAGCCAGATTCAGAAGGAGACTGTAGATGGAACTTGGCTGAAAGCAGAGAATACCATAAAAATGTTTGCTGGCATTTTACCGATTATACAACGGCATTAGAGTACATGGATCATAACAAACTATAGATAACATTTGGAAGAATGGAAATTCCAAGATACTCAATTGTGTTCCTGTGGATCCTGTACATAAGACGAGAAAAGAGGCAGTTATACAAGCAGACCAAGGAAATAGAGTGGGTTTAAAATCAGGAAACGGCCAAGTCCTTTCGCCTGCCTGGCTGACAAGTGAAGAGGACTCAACGCGCCAGCTAACGAACACCGACGACCGCAGCTTCCAGCGTGGACTGCGACTCAATGCAGAGAAAAGCAGCACCCTCATCACCGGACCGACAGAGCACATCCCGATGACGGGAGAAGACTGAGCCTTTGGAGGATTTCATCTTGCTTGGACCCACAATCAATGCTCATGGAAGCAGCAGCCAAGAAATCAAAGGACGTATTGCACTGGGCAAATCTGCTGCACAGACCTCTTTAAAGTGCGGAAGGAGAGGATGCCATTTTGAGGACTATGGTGTACCTGCCCCAAACGATGGTCTGTTCAATCACCTCATCTGCATGTGAAAGTTGGGCAATGGATGAAGAAGACCAAAGAAGAATTGGTGCCTTTGGATTATGCCGTTGGCAAATGGTATTAAATATACTGTGTACTGCCAGAAGAACAAACAAATCAGTTTTGGAAGAAGTACAGCCAGAATGCTTAGAAGCGAAGATGGCAAGAGCCGTCTCCCACACTTTCTAACTGATCAGGAGAGAACACACGTGCTTGGTGGAAGGTCAGTGAGGAGGAGGAGGACCATCAAGGAGATGGACTGGAGCAGTGGGTGTGAGGTCACCGCGGTGAGGATGCTGAGGGCGAGCGCAGTGCTCCGCTCTGTTGCCCAGGGTGGATGGGGCTGGCAGCTCAACCACAGGAGGGTCAACAATGAAATGCAGCAGTGCTACACTGTGCCTAGACGGGCTTTCAGAGATGGTGCCATGTCTCTCAGAAACCCGTGAGCTTTCACAAAGGAACAACATGATGTCACAGTGCTGTGGCGCTGAAGTGAGAGCCCAACAGCAGCGTAAAATCACAACCGCACGCACAGCACCACGCTGGGCGGTGTCGACATCCGAGAATGAGGACAGCCTGTCCTGTGGGGCGTGGACTTCCCTCTGGGTCTACCACCACCGCTGACGCAGCTCATGGTCTGCGCACAGGTGGGTCTTCGCACGGCTATGAAACTACAAGAAACATTAACCAGCGCTTGGTTTCTTTGGCGCACACGCTCTTGACAGCAGGACACAGAGTGTTTCTCTGCCCATCATGAGTGCCAGGTACAATGAGCCAGGGCCAGGGGCCAAGCCAAGTGGGTGACTAAGCTTCCCCTTCAGCGACACCAGTCTCTTGGTAGTGGAAGGAAGCCTTTGTTGTTTATGATGGCCATTTCAGAGATTCCCACAGGCAGGAGGGGCAAGGCTGCATGGTGTTTCCTTCCACTCATTGCACTCTGTGTGGGGAGAGGGGAGGGACCCAAGCACTGGAACTGATGCTGCAGCACCCAGCACCAGCACCATTTCAGGGACTGCCCAGCAAGCCAGCCTCCTGTGGGCCGGTGTGGCACGCCAGGGGCTTGGAGATTTGCCAGAGGAGCCATCATCATGGAAGCTTATTCCAGCTTTACCAGCGGAGGGTCACGAGTGACTGCTGGGCTGGGGGAGGTCCTGTCCCCACACAGCATCCCCGCCTGTACTCATACCTGTGCATACCTACCTACCAGCACCCCCTCATTCACATACCTGTGCACGCGCACTAGTGAGTGTCCCACCTGTACTCCCACCTGCGCAACACCTGGAACTCTCACCAGCCCCAGCTTGCTGCCCGTCCTTCCTTCCCCACAGGCGGCAGTGTTTCCCTCTGGTGCTCCTGTGCTCATTCCCAACCTGCTGACAGCTCGGCTCGGGTGAGGGGTGACATCAGTGAAGCTTGAGCCCCAACAACCTGCTGTGGCAGAGGTCCGTGCAGGGGCGGCCTTGCTCCTCACCAACACGGCTCCTAAGAAAGGCACGCAGCTGGGTCCAGAGGCAGCATGGGCGGGAGCTCTGTGTCCCTGTGCTCGTCACCGTCAGACTGCGAGTGAAGCCGGGCACAGCCAAGCTCCGACCGGTGTCAGGACGCTGCCGGTCAGCGCCAATGAGCCCTGCATCGTGCGGCCGACAGACGGCTCTCACTGAGCAACTGCTGTGTTTCATGCACTGGTGCCACAGATGTGTCACCATGGCAACATCATTCATTTCAGATCTTACCGGAAACATGCACTCCAATCAACCCTAATTACACCGCATTGCTCTCTTGTCCACGGGAGGAAGCTAGAACGTGATTACTGGGAGAAAGACGGGGTTTTACACACGGAAAGAATCAGAAACCCACAGGGTGATGCCACCCTGCCCTACGGGGTCATCTCACCCCGAGTCAGAACTGACTCAATGGCAGCGAGTTTGGGTTTTGGTTTTTCCTTCCCTCTGCTGAGGTGAGAGAGCACAGTACTGTGACAGACACTCTTGTCAACAGCTGCCTGACAGACAAACCCAGTTCCGCCCTCAGAAGGCCTGCCGAGTAGCTTGGTTGGGTGTGGTGGCCCGGACCCTGTGACCACTGCTCTGTGCACACAGCCAGATGTGGACATAGGACCTGGAACCTGGGCCCCGTGAACAAGCACGCACCATCAGACCCATCGCTGAGGGGCCTAGAAGAAAGAGGCCTTGAAGCCACCCCCTCCGTGTGAGCCGACTTGTCTCCAGGAGGAAAGCGGGAAGCAGGAAAACCTCAGGGACTGGCAAAGGTCACAGTCGCTAACCAGTTTCCACTGTGACTGGGCCAGCGGGAGCACACATCCCTCCCTCCAGACCTCTCAGCCCTGACACTCCTGGGAGGAGACCAATCTCATCTCTCCCCTAGACTGGGCAGAGGGCTATGGCAGAAGTGGCCAACCAGCAGGACCACACCCTGGGGCTGGGCCACACATCAAGGGGGCATATGCCTGGCACACATCAATAAACAAATGTCACACTTTCAGTAAGTAGCTGCTGAATGAATGGATGGTAACAGTCAGCACTGAAAATTTTGTCTGAATACACACTCCTTCTATCAGCTACTTTGACATACATAATGTTCTCTGAGATAATAATTACAGTAATGCACTGCTGGATTTGAAACGTATACAGGCATGATATGGATAAACAGTAAGAGCTCACTGCGGAGGAAGACGGAATAGAGCTACACAGGACTGACAGGCATTGG